ACCTGTAATCCCAGTTATTCAGGACACAGAGGCAAGAGGAGCTTCAAGTTTGAAGGCCAGCTGGTGGCAAAGTTAGTGAATTCCTATTCAAAAAATAAAAACACAAAAAAGGCTAGGGGCATGGCTCAAGTGGTAGAGCCACTTGCCAGTACAAGCAAGGCCCTGGTTTCAGTCCCCAGTACCATTAAAAGAAAAAAAAAAAAAAAAAAAGGAGGGCAGCCATGTGGAAGCCCCTCATTGAGTGAAGAACTGCCACCACTTATTCCAGGAGAACATGCTGAGGATGCACTTGGACTCACACCCCAGCTGGCTGAGCCACTCTTCAGGAACCAGCCTTCATTTATCTTACATTGAAACTTGGGAAAGCCTCACTTTTTTGAGACTGAAGCTTCTGGTGAACCTGGGGAACTTGAATTTGGCCCTGAGCTGGGCCTCAGTCATATGTTTCTTTGTATGTAGCTCTGTGTAGACAGACTTGATGACCTGGCTAAGTGAACCCTGGCCACTGTGCTCTGAGGCTTCCCAAAGGCCGCTGCATACTTGTAAATGCCTACAAGAGTGGGGACAGCATGAGCTTAGACTCATGCTGAATGACCCACTGAATGAGCTGTCTCCAAAGACCTTAGGACAACCCATGCAAGCAACAAAATGCATACACGACCGTACTACCTCACTCTATATTTATACTAAACTAAATTCCAAGATGGATTTAAAATTTTAAATGTAAAAGCAAAGCCACAAGAGGAATAGAAGAATCTTCATGACCTTATATTTGGCAGTGGATTCTTAGACATGACACCAAAAGCACACACAATCAAAGGAAAAATATAAATTGGAGTTTATCAAAATTAAAATCAAATTTAAATTAAAACTTTTTGTGTACCAAAGGACACTATCAAAATGGTGAAAAAAATCACAGGATAGAAGAAATTCTTGCAAGCCTTATGTCTGATGAAGGCCTAGTAATTGGAATATGTAACTCTTACAACCTAACAACAGAAAGATAACCAACCCAATCAAAAAATGAGCAAAGACCTGAACAGACATTTCTCCAAAGAAGATAAAAAATAGCTAATAAGTCACAAAAATGTTCAACATCATTGATCACTAGAGAAATGCAAGTCAAAACTATAATGAAAAGCTACCTCACACACTTTTAGGATAGCTACTATCAAGACAGAAGCCAGGTGCCAATGGCTCACGCCTGTAATCTAGCTACTAGGAGACAGAGATCAGGAGGATCATGGTTCAAAGTCAGCCCAGGCAGATAGTTTGTGAAACCCTATCTCAAAAATACCCAACACAAAAAAGGGCTGGTGGAGTGGCTCAAGTGGTAGAGTGCCTGTAAGTGTGAGGCCCTGAGTTCAAATCCCAGTTTCACCAAGAAAAAAAAAAAGGGGGAGAGAAAATAATAAGCATTGGAAATTGTTAGAGGAATTAGAACCCTTATATATTAGTGCTAGGAATATAAAATCTGATATATAGTCACTGTGGAAAACATCCCGGTGTTCCTCAAAGTTAGAATTGTGACCCCAACAATTCCACTCTTAGGTATAGACCCAAAAGAATTCCAAACAGAAAGTCAAGCAAGTATGCATGTACGCATGTTCCTAACAGCGAAGAAGTGGAACAATGTCCAGAAACTGATGGATGGAAAAGCAAAAGTGCTATACTCATACATGGAACATGATTCAGTCATAAAAGAAACACACTGAAACACCCTACAATATGGATCAACTTTGAAAACATGACGTGAAAGAAATCAGATCGAAAAGGCCACATAGTATACAGCTCTGCTTGTATGAAATGTCCGGAATAGACAAATCCATAGAGACAGAAAGCACATTAGTCATTAGTGAGAGAAGAGGTTGGGGAGCAGCTGCTTAATGGGTATGGGGTTTCTTTTGGGGGTGACAAAAATGATACTGATAATGATTCTGAGTGAAGTAAATACCACTGAATCATACATTTTTGGTTAAAATGATGAATTTTATGAGTTTTACTTGTGTTGAAAAACTGCTAGAAGGAAATATAGGTCAATTTATAATATTCACATGAGGCTGTCTGGTTTTTGTTTTTGTTTTCTTTTTGAGATGGGGGTCTCACTTTGGAAGGCAGCTATGCATACCATTATACCACCAACACATTCAGAGTTTCACTTTGTTGTCCAGGTTAGTTTTGAACTCCTGGGCTCAAGTGACCCTCTTACCTCAGCTTCCTGAGTAGTTAGAACTACAGACACATGGTACCATGCCTAGCACACAGGTTTTTAGAGCTAACTCTTATTTTTTATTTTATTTATTTATTTTGGTGTACTGGAGTTTGAACTCAGAGCCTCATGCTTACTAGGCAGGTGCTCTACCACGTGAGCCCCTCCACCTGTTATATGTTGGATATTTTCGAGACACACTCTCTTGAACCATTTGCCCAGGGCTGGCTTCAAACTGTGATTGAGTCTCCTGATCTCTGCCTCCTGAGTAGCTAGGATTATAGGTATGAGCCACCAGCTCCTGGCTGTAGAGATAACTCAACCTTTTTTGTATCTGGACATCTTTAAGAACTTAATGAAAGTAAGATCCTTTCCCAAGAATATACAGGGACACACAAATAATTTTAAGGGGCCTATGTGGCCTTGAAGTCCATTCATAGATATCCCAAAGAATCAAAGGTTATTGACTTATTGTCACAATTGCAAAGTAAAGTTATAAAATAAATTCAAATCATTTATAGATACAAATATTCTAGAAATAAGTTGCAACAGCCAACTGCAAAGCATGATGAGTTGTTTCTTTGTAGTCTGTGCTTTTACAAATGGTTCTAGTTTGAAATTGGAAGTTGAACAAACCTTTGATTCTAATGCAGAACAGTTTCCAGGTGTTGGCAATGTCTCTTCAATTGGTATGAAAAGAAAATCTTGAGCAAAACGTGAATTCTTCAAGACAGCTGCTGTCTCTTCATCCACTTCAACAAGTTCACCCTGCTAAAGAGCAGAATCAAACACATATTAAGAGATGACATTTCAGGGACCCAGAGTGATGGTGCCCATCTTTATCCCAGGCACACAGGAGGCATAGGTAGGAGGATCAAGGTCTGAGGCTGGCCCTCAGGCAAAAGCTTGAAACCCTGACCCTACCCAAAAAAACTAAAGCCAAAGAGGGCTAGGTGTGTGGCTCAAGTGATATCATGGCCAACTAGCAAGTGCAAGACCCATGGTTCAAACCCCAGTACTGGAGAGAGAGAAAAAGAGACAGAGAGTGTTTAAAGGGTCTGTAGGATCACCCACGATCCTCCCGCCTCTGCCTTCAGAGTGTTCAGATTACAGGTGTGTGAGACCCATTGAAAATGTTGGTCTGGCCAAAAATCGCATGTTCTCCCTCATATGCGGACATTAGATCAAGGGCAAACACTAAAAGGGGATTGGACTTTGAGCACATGATAAAAGCGAGAGCACACAAGGGAGGGGTGAGAATAGGTAAGACACCTAAAAAATTAGCTAGCATTTGTTGCCCTCAACGCAGAGAAACTAAAGCAGATACCTTAAAAGCAACTGAGGCCAATAGGAAAAGGGGACCAGGAACTGGAGAAAAGGTTAGATCAAAAAGAATTAACCTAGAAGGTAACACATACGCACAGGAAATTAATGTAAGTCAACTCCCTGTATAGCTATCCTTGTCTCAACTAGCAAAAACCCTTGTTCCTTCCTATCATTGCTTATACTCTCTCTACAACAAAATTAGAAATAAGGGCAAAATAGTTTTTGCTGGGTATTGAGGGGGTGGGGGGGAGAGGGAGGGGGCAGGGGAGAGTGGTAAGAGAGGGGGTGAGGGGAGGGGGGAGAAATGACACAAACATTGTATGCACATATGAATAAAAGTATATATATATATATATATATATATATATATATATATATATACACATACATATATATATAATTAATAAAAATAAATTTAAAAAATTTAAAAAAAGAAAACGTTGGTCTGGGGTTTAAGTGCTATAGAGCTTACCTAGAAGTACAAGACCCTGAGTTCAAACGCCAGTGTTGCCAAAAAAATGTTGTTTTGACCCAGGCCTGCTGGTGCACTACTGTAATCCCAGCACTCAAGAGACAGACAGGAGGAATATGAATTTGAGGCCAGCCTGGGCTACATAGTGAGACCCTTTCTCAAAAACATTTAAAAAAAAATGTTAGCTGGGCGCCAGTGGCTCATGCCTTTAATCATAGCTATTTGGGAGGCTGCAATTAGGAGGATCTCAGTTCAAGGCCAGCCCAAAATATTCATGAGATACCCCCACCCCCCTATCTCAACCAGTACCTGGGCACGGTGACTTGAACCTGACATCCCAGGTATGCTGGAGGCTAAGACTGGGAGGACTGTCGTTCCAGGCCAGCCTTGGCTAAAAAGGTCATGAGGCCCTCATCTCAACAACAACAAAAAAGCTGGGCATGGAGACACATGCCTACCATCCTAGATAAGGTGAGAAGTATAAAATAGGAGAGGACTGTGGTCCAGGCCAGTCTGGAGATTGGTGAGACCCTATCTCCAAAATAACTAGAGCAAAAAGGGCTGAAGGTATGGCTCAAATGGTAGAGTGCCTGGCTAGCACGCATGAAGCTCTAAGTTCAAACCTCAGTCCCACCCTCCCCCCTCAAAAAAGTGTTATTTTCAAAGCAACACATTTCACTAGGGCCAAGTGATGATTCTGTAGCAGGCAGTACACCTAGGAACAGCACATCAAGTAAAAAGTTCTGAGGGTTATACAGTGAGACCATCTCAGAAAACAAACAAGAAAACAAAAAGGGGTATAGCGTAATGAATGCATAAGCCGCACATTGCCAGTTATCATCCAAGTACTGTACACCATGTATCTGCTACACTTCTACACAGCCGGCAACACAGTACTTTGTGTACACCAATATCGCCTCGAGTAATGTTGCGTTCTAATGTTATGAAGCTATGATATTTCTAGGTGACAGGAACTCTTCAGCCCCATTATAATCTTATAGAACAGTCCTTGTATACACAGTCTGTCCTTCACTGCAACACTGCTATGCAACACATGACTATATGAGCAAATATGTATACATTCATATTTTATAGACACAAAACAAATGTTGCAAAATGTTCTTAATTGCTAAAATAGGTAATGGATGTATGTACTCATTGTGCTATTTTTTTAAGTGTTTAAACTATTTCTAAAATAGTTAAAGCCATTTTTATAATAAGTATTTTAAACATTTTGTATTAAATTTGGAAACTATTTTTCCACCTCACTTAAAAAATACACACCAACGGGTGGTCGTACTGAGCCCAGTGGCCACCTGGGATCTGCCACAGCCTCCTTAGCTGCTGCCCACCACCCTCTGACCACAGACCTCCACAAATTTTGAGTTTTGGGCCTTCATGAAAATGTGTACACAGGATCAGAGTGTCTATATACTGAAAAGATACGTTTCCAGAGGGAGTGGGTGGTAAGCATGGGGGTGAAGTCCCACCTGGTACTCATAAAGCTGAATCAGAAGAAAATAGCAAGGAAGAAAAAAACAAAAACCAAAGGAAACAAAGACATGAGTTATCAGTGAGGAACGTGATCTGGAAATTGATAATGAAGGTGTAATTGAACATACGCTGATGTCCCTCAAGAAATGAAAGATGAAAAGTTAGGGATAACCAAGATGGAAGATCAAGCAAATGAAAAGGAAGGGGTTGGCATTGAAGCCCTAAATGATGGACACTACAGAAAGCCACTGACCTGTGCACAGCTGCTACCAAAGTAAACTCTTTCTTATGGCCATTCTGCATACCAGGACAGCCAGTGCCTTCATGAAATTATAGATGCTGAACGCTGTCATCTGAGACTGCGACAGACCTCTGAAATCTCGATTCAGCTCAGCCTTCCAGGTGGTGAGGGAAAGCACATAGACTTCTGGGCCATTGGGAAGAGACAGCCCATGATCTTGTCCTTGCCTATAACCTGGATTATGATAAGGACACTAGTGCAAACCTGAAAGTTCAACCACGGTCCCAGAAAGTACGAGCGCTGTCCTTTCCTGTGCCCTCTTCAGGGTGACACAGTGCCCTAAGAGGCTAACACAGAAGGGAAATCTCCACAAAACCCAGAGAAGAGCTTATAAAACTCCTCCTTGGATCCTGTCTGGAGTCACAGCTGAAAAAAAGAATAAAAACATTTAAAAAAATAAAACCATGAAGAACAAGGAATCAAAGAAGAGAAGGGGTTAAGAAGAAGGCTGGAGAAGAGTGTGAGAGTCCAGAGGGAGGAAGAAGCCAGAAGACAATCAGAGCTCAGTATGGCTCTTTCCCAGGTGGCTTTCCTAGGGACTGCTTGCTAACCTTTCTGAAGGAGAACCTAAAATGGGAGGGCCAGGCCTGGAATGGCAGTAATGCCTGCGCTCAATGAAACTTTTAAGGATGCAAAGGTTCTTGCAGCCATGCAGGATCAAGAAGTTATAGTAGCCTTCCAGGATGTGGACCAGAACCTGTCAAATATGTCAAAATATCAGAGCAACCCAAAGATGATGCATCTTATTTGTAGGTGCCTTGCTGAAGGAAAAACAACTTACATCACTTAATGGATGTCACATTCATACGAACCAGTGTACCACGATGGCCTCACGAGGACAGGGGTGCTTTGAAGCTAATCCCTATCTCTCCCTACCAAGTGCAGCTGAAGCATTGCAGTGTTTGCCATTGGAGTATTCAGATCACATTTTCCTACTAGGAATTACAAACTTTAAATACTTTTTAAATCTTAAAAATATTTAAAAACAAACCAAAAGGATGTGTTAATGCCTATATTTTTTGTTACTAATCATTTTGGGGGTTTCTTTTGGATTTACAGGGCAAGGAAGATAACTATGGAAGATTTACTGCTCAGAGAAATAAAGGTTTGTTAGGGGAACAAATAAAACTCATTTAAGTAGGAAAAAAATACACACAAACAAATGAATGACAGCAATTCAAGGTTAAGGAAAGGTACCTAAAGTAAGGCCAAGAGCAAAAGAAAGCCAGAAGTCATGGACTTTTTTTTTTCTTTTTTCAGTGTTGGAGATAGAACCCAGAACCTTGCACATGCTAGATAAGTGCTCTACCACTAAGCTACACTCCCAGCCCCATGGACATTTTTGTTTTTATTTACCTTGAATGTGAAATTTGCATCAAATATTAGTTCTTTTTCATGCCCTGTGATTCCTCCATTGTAAACAACTTGGCATCTTTTGGCTGGTCCTGTCTTAGGAAGTTTGAAGAGGCGAAATGTGGCAGAAACAAAGCGACAGTCACCTAAAAACAGATACACGTGGTTCATCTCCAGCATTCCAGCTGCATTCGTTTGCTTAGCAGATAAGGGTCCAGTGTATCATAAAGATGATTTTCTTCTTTGTTTGTCATTAATTATCATTCTGGGCACTTCACTATTTACTGAATGAGTTCCAAATACCTTATTAAATATAAAGCTTCTTATTAAATATCATTAAATATCAAACTTCTAGGGGGTTGTATTATTCAGGAGACAAGATGGACATTTCCAAATGGCATAGTCTCCTTTGGTGAGAATCTTTCCGTAGATACTAAGCACCAACTGAAACCCATTCAGGCTGTAGCTATAATGGTCCCTCCTGTTATTTCTTACCAATAACTCTTTCTAGTTCCTTGTTTCGAATTGTAATGATATTGGCAGTGACCAAACGTGGAGGGCAGAACCCAGTTTTTTGGGCAAGGATGTCAAGATCCTTCCAGTACAAAGCACCACCCAAGCACTCACCTGGAAAAAACCACAGATTAACCAACACATAAAGCAGTATTAAGAAAACTAATACTTGATGTAATTAATTAGGACTAAGTAATTAATTAGTTAAAACATAGCTCTTGGGCTGGAGGAGTGGCTCAAGTTGTAGAGCACCTGCCTAGCAAGCATGAGGGTCTGAGTTCAAACCCCAGTACCACCAAAAAAAAAACCCAACAAAATCCATAGATCCTAGAAATAAAGGCTAACCTAAATATCCCCACAAGGTCTAGAAAGAAATAGTTAAAACTAGGTAGGCATTGCTAGCTAGTGGTCTCTGGGAACCATTCTTCAGGACAGTCACTAATGTGTTGGCTCCAATTGCCACCAGGAGGGTATTTAGAACAGAGATTGTCCTGACAAAAGAGAGGAATGAACTGTCTACTCAATTTTCCAATTGCCCACGAGAGGCCCAGGAACTTGTATTAATGAGAAAAAGAATTCTCTAGCAATCCACAAAGGAGACTCACCAGATGGCAAGCCAGTGGAGATTTATTTAGCTCAGGAAGACAAAGCAGGGAGAAAAGAAAAGGAAGGTAAACCAGCACCTTCTGAGAAGCTGTCAGAAGGTGGGAGCTAAGGCTCAACGGGTGCTCTTCACCCAGGAGTATTTATGTCTCCTAATTGGGCTGGGAGTTTCCAGGTCAAAAATATTCACCTGGATGTATGATCATCTAGAAACTTCCAGATTGTCCTGTTTTGGTACTATTACCCCTGCATGGAGACATTGGGTATGAATCAGTCTTACAATCAAAGAGTCTTGTGACATGGGTATCTGTTCTTTGTGTCTTATTTCTATTTCTCCCTGGTCACAGATTTATAAAAGCCAGGCACTTGATATTCTCAACCTAATTAGTCATTTAGAGGAATCATATCTCATTGAACATCTAAAGAGAAGGGAGAGAGATGGCAGGAATGAACTCGGGTGCTTTTTGCTGCTCTACTGATCCTTCCTGCTCTAGTAATTTTCAGCCTTAGTTCCTGGTTTTATCTCAGTTCCTGGGCCCAGCTGCTTCTTCTTCTTCTTCTTCTTCTTCTTCTTCTTCTTCTTCTAATTATTATTATTATAATATATTTTCTTTTTTTTTGGCAGTACTGGGGTTTGAACTCAGGTGCTCTACCACTTGAGCCACCCTGTCAGCCCTATTAATATGTTTTCTAGTTTTTCTGTCACCTTACCCTAGTTAGCCTGCCCTCACACACAGATCCAATGATAATATTTTATATGTGATATATTACTAGGTCACATTCTGAAAAGTACTACAATATGTGAACAAAATAGTACATAAGAAAAAATTATGAAATTGCCTCTTAGCTCCAGATTAATCTCATCACTACCTACTACTAATGTTCACAGTCACTTTATAGATTTTTTCAAGTATAAAGGTGTTCAGACATGTTTTATTTCTTACATCAACAAATTGGAACAACCTAAATGATTACCCATAGGAAAACAGCTGAAGTATGGTACAGCTGAACAACACAGTTTTTATAATAAAAACATTTCTAAAATGTCTAAACTTTTTTATGCTTAGGAAACCCACTAAGTAAATAAAATTGGAATATTAAATTCTATGTTAAAGAATTACCATGGAGTTATAGGATTATAAATAATTTTTTTCTTTTTTGGTGTTTTCCAACTTTTTTTTTTTTTTGTGATACTGGGGTTTGAACTCAGGGCCTACACCTTGAGACACTCCACCAGCCCTTTTTTGTAATGGGTTTTTTTCGATAACTATTTGCCCAGGCTACTTCAAGATCCTCCCGATCTCTACCTCCTGAGTAGTTAGGATTACAGGCATGAGCCACCAGCACCCAGTGTATTTTCCAACTTTTTAACACAATCCATTTATTACTATATAATAAGAAAAAAGTTAATGCAATTTACTTTAAAAGTAAGAACTTCTAATTTCTCGTAGTCAGAGTGAACACAAGCATGCATTTATCTCCTCAACTTCTGGAGACTCTATTAAAGTGACAATAAAGAAACAACACAACAGTGATGAGAATGTGGCATCAACTCTGGAACAGTTGCTTTTGTTTTCATATTCATTACCCCATAATCTTCATAACAGTCCTATAAGGCAGACTGTATTATTATTTTCATTTTACAGTTTGGAAAATAATGACTTAAAAAGATTAATTAAAGTGTCCAAAATCATGTCAGTTTTGAGTAGCAGAGGAAGAATGGAACCTCCACCTCCTGACTTTATCCCATGTGGCCTCACATCCAGTGGTTTCCTCCTGGTTATTAGCAGGATGGAGCTCTTCACATAAATAATCATCTTCCTTAAAACAAAAAACACAAGAACACCTACCCCACAAAACTTTGTGTGTCTTGATTTCTTCTGGCAATTCAAGGCTAGCATAGACGTCACTGAAATATAGCTCCCCTCCATCCTGAAAGAGCAGTGAGTCCAAGCAAGGTTAAAGATTACAATGGTCCCAGATAACAAAGAAATAGATGAGAGCACAAGATCAAATTCAAAAGCCCACGCCCACGCCAGTGCCTGAACTGAGACTGACCAAGCTGACCCTTTGAACAAACGACAGCTGGCTCCCTCTCTACAGTCAACAGCCAAGGGTCAAGGTATGTGTACTTTTCCAGTGCCCTATCCAACAGGTAATAAAATCACTTACTAAAAGTGTCTCTCTTCTAAATAAAGCTATTCAGTTTCCCTAAATTTTTAGACAGTCCTATCAGAATATATGTATATGTATATATGTATATATGTAACCTAGGTGGTTACATAACTAATAGAAGATATAAACAGTATTGATAGACTTAAAATTATATAACTCTTTGTGATGTTATTACACATTATATTTTTTAAAAATTATAATTAAAATCTAAGGCATCAGGAATTTAAGATTTTTGGGGGTGAGGAGGGCACTGGGGCTTGAACTCAGGGCCTCATACTTGCTAGGCAGGCTCTCTACTACACGAACCACTCTGCCAGCCCTTTAAGCTAACTTCAAAAGCAATTTAGGTCTATATTCTATAATAATGTTTACCTTTTTTTAAGTACATCTCTGTGAAGAAAGTGAGTTGGTCTATAAAATCACGTAAAAATACCTTTCTAGTAATTGAGCTCTATGACAGTCCCATAAAACAAACATCTCAGAATCTTTTTTCCGTGTGTGTGTGGTGCTGGGGATTGAACCCAAGGCCTTGTATATGTTAAGCAGGCGCTCTACCACTGAGCTAAATCCCCAATCCCCCCAAATTGCAGAATCTTGTGTTTTCTAGCACAGAGACACACTCATGTGACACACAGAAAGGTGACGCAGCTCCTACAAGTTTTCCTTTTAGAAAGTTGCTAATATAAAAGTTCCATCCTCTTTAACTTCCCAAAAATCTGAAATCCTAGCAAATAAGAAATAAATATCTATGATACTTGGGAGGCAGAGATGAGGAGGATCGTGGTTTGAGGTCAGCCTAGGCAAAATGTTAGCAAGATTCCATTTCAATAAGCCAAGTGTGGTGGAGAGCAACTGTGATCCCAGCTTACAGGGAGGCCAATAACTAAAGCAAAAAGGGCTTGGGGGTGTGGCTCAGGTGGTAGAGCACCTGAGTTCAAACCCCAGTTTAGCAAAGAAATAAAAAGAGCAAAGTAGCTGTGAGAAACATGGGACATTCTAGAGACAGCAAATTCACAGCAATCTTTTGTTGCGAGGTCAAAGGTTCTTGTGGGAGAATCAATATAGCAAATATTTTAACATGAAATGACAATCATGACCCCAGAGTTAATGCCTTTCACAATATGAAAGGGAAAAGAAGCCATAACTAGGGTATTCCTGCCACTGCTCTTTTTTTTTAATTTTTATTTTATTCATATGTGCATACAATGGTTGGGTCATTTCTCCCCCCTTCCCCCCACCCCCTCCCTCTCCCCCCCACCCCCTCGATACCCGGCAGAAACTATTTTGCCCTTATCTCTAATTTTGTTGAAGAGAGAGTATAAGCAATAATAGGAAGGCCCAAGGGTTTTTGCTAGTTGAGATAAGGATAGCTATACAGGGAGTTGACTCGCATTGATTTCCTGTGCATGTGTGTTACCGTCTAAGTTAATTCTTCTTGAACTAACCCTTTAAAATTTGAAAAAAATCTGAGCTCTCACTTCAAGGAAGAAAGAGCAGGACTGATACCATCAACACTTGCAGAAGTTTAAAGTTCATTTGCCTCCCTCTTCCCCTCACCTTTAGCACTCGATACACTTCCTGGAGCACTTGCTGTTTATCAGGCACAAGGTTAATAACACAATTTGATCTAAAAAAGAGCAGATGTCAGAGGACTGAAATCCTTTAAGTCCCCAAGGGTCCTCCCACCATTCTGTTGAAGCTACCATTCTCCCTGCCTCTTCCCCTACAGTCAACTTTTTTCCAAGAAGACAGGAAGTGTTTAAAATCTCAGCAAACTATTAGCCAGTATGAATAAGCAGAAAAAACTATGAGGCATGGTTCCTACTTGTTTCTGCCCTGGTGTTCACCAGGCAACAAGATGAAACCTGGGACTAGATGCCTCCTGCTCATGGCATTTCTTAAGCCACATGTCAATAGGCTAAGTTCCTCATAGGCAGCTTTCCTGATGCTGCCACTTGGGCATGATCTGACAACAATTCAGAGAAAAACAAGAAACAAAATCCCATACTTTGTCATGAAAATAATAGTTGTGAGTCATGCAACATTTCAGCCAAGGATGGACATCTATGATGGTGGTCTCCTAAGATTATAACAGAGCTGAACAATTCCTAATGCCTATTAACATCACAGTCACGGGAACACTGTAACAACCATTGCTCAAGATGCATGGGGATGCTGGTGTGAACACACCTACTATGCTGCCAGTTGCAGAAAAACAGAGCACATAAAATTATGCACAGTGCATAATACTTGGTAATATAAATGATGTTACTGGTTTATGTATTTAGTAGACTATACTTTTGTCATTACTTTTGCAGTGTACTTCTATTTATTAAAAAAAGAAAAGTATTATAAAACAAACTACTATATTCTGTTTGCAGCAGCCTCACATCTTGGGTTTACCATATCTCAATTGCTCATTTTTCATTTTCTCTTGTGCTCAATTTAATCAAATGTTTTGTTCATTATGTTCCAGAAGCAATAGGCCATAATATATGTATGTATATACATACATATATATACCAAATAGCCTAAGTGTGTAGAAGACTCTATCCTCTAGGTTTGTGCAAATTTTCTCTATGATATTTAAACAATAAGGAAATTGCCTAATGCTGTGTTTCTCGAGACAGTTCCCTGTAGTTGACTATACTAAAGATAACAGGCCAGTGCATTATAGGAGCAGACTCAGTGTGCTGGCTGGTTTTTTCAGTTCATTGGTTTCTAGTTTGGTTTAACTTAAATTCTCTCTTGGGCTGTGTTCTGCTGCCAGTGTGCTACAGGGAGCTCACATCAGCTCCTTTCCTTTATGAAGTTATACTGAATTTCATGTAACACCCTAAGTGAGAGTCAATTCAGCAAAAAGTGGTAACATTTGTGTGTTGAAAAGGAAGCGGGCTTTACTCGTAACTGTAAGGGCACACCCCTACATAACAACATCGTAGCTCTTGTCCTGGATTCCAGCCTCTGCCAATTTCTCAATGAAGCCATTAATAAAAGTCACATTGGATTCCTGGAAGCCAAATTTTTCCATATGGTAGTCAAGATGTTTTTTAGCCACTTCCACCTTAAGGAAGAAAAACAGATTTGATAATCAACATTTAAGATATACAAAATTTTCCCACTAATGATGGAATATACTTCTTCTGGACTATTTTGGACATATACGCAAGATTACTATGGACACGTAAGCCATGCTACAGGCTAGAACATAAATTCCCTGCTACATGGGTTTTGCTTGAACAAAGCATTTCAGGACAGATGGCAGAAGGAAGAAAAAGATGAAAACCCATTGGGTCATCACGATATTCAGATATTGGATCAAACCTCTGATCTTGTGTTCTTAAGTGCTTCTAGTTGTCAAAGTTCTCAGCCTCTAAGACAAGAAGCACTAGAGGCACAAATGATCACCACTAAATGGCATCCTTCTTGAATTATCCTTGAAGAGTCACAAAGGAAATAACTATCTCTAAAAGAATGACTTGGGAATTGTTTTCCTCCTAGTCTTCCAATTCTTTGCCTTACCTGGCCTTGGGTCATGTCTATTCCAGTGACATGTCCCTTCTCACCAACCAGCTGACTAAGTGCATAGCAATCTCTGCCACTTCCACTACCCAGATCCAAAATCCAGCAGTTTTCCAGACACTCAGGGATGACCAGACCACAGCCATAATACCTGAAATGGAAAATATGTACTTTTTTCCCATAGTGACTAGAAGTTGTGAAAATACCAAATCTTAAACATCCCTCTTTCTTTCCTCTCTCCCTTTTTTCCTTCCTTTCTCCCATCATTTATTCATATTTCTATTTAGGTGTCTGGCCCCTCCTACTAAACTAGAAGCTCCAGGAAGACTGGAGCCTTGTGCCAGCCATCTAAAATATTTGTTGAACAAATGCATTTGGGTTATAGCAGCTGAGCTACTTCGGGGCCCAGGACTATACCAGTTATTGAGGAAAAATTTTCTGTCCCCTAGTTGCATTTACTCTAACTGGGATGTATGTGACACAGGAGCACAGAAATCATTTCTCACAACTAACTGACAAACTGAGTGTTGCAGGTGGCAAGTGTGGGTAGAAGGTGCTCAGGAGTACAGAAGGCTTTGTGGAGTGGGTGGGACATCAGTGAGGTGTTGGAAGGGCAGGGGCGGAAGGTGGAAAGAAGAGAAAGAACTGCTCGCTGGGCAGGCAGTGCTGTGGCAGTGCGGAAGGGAAAGGTCGGAGGGAGCCAAGGTTGGTTAGAGACGGCCAAACTGTGATCCTTGGACATGAATTTATTCTGAAAGGGAAGGGATGGAGGGTGTCCTTGGAGGTTCTGAACAGGGCAGTTAAGATCATCAGTGCAGCGCTTTGGGAGTTTTACAGACCAGGCAAGCGGGATGGCCGCACTCCCTGATGCCTGCTGCACGGTCTGGAGACTAGGAGAGGGAGCCCACTACCTCAAGGTAACTTCTTCGTGCACATTCTGCAGGGCTTCACGGATGTGCTTGGGGACTGGCCTCGCTGCTGTGACACAGGCATTGGTCTGGAGGTCTGCAGATGTCTTCAGCACCTGCCCATAGTAGCTCTAACACAGCAGCCAAGGGCAGAGAGAAAAGAGGGGAGAAAAAGGGCTGGACTTGTGTCTGCAGCACCAGAACTGCACAACCACTCCCCCCCCCCCCCCCCCCCCCCCTGAATGACCTTGCTCCCTGCAAATTAGCCGGGAGCCCAGGCCCTGCCCTGCCCTGCCCCCCCTCCTGGGGGTTTTGGGGCAGGAGCGCCTGCTTGGCAGGCCCTCGGCTCCCACACAGCCCAGGCTCAGACTGTCCAGTCGAGGCCCCACGGCTCTCACCTGCACATTCTTCTGGATCTCTGCGTCACAGGGGGCGGCCACTGCCAGGAAGAGGAAAATGGAGCTCAAAGGCCCCAGCGCCAAGGACCGGGGCAGCGGGATGGAAGGGAGGCCGAGGGGAGTGGGAGGGAAGCATGGCGGGGAGGAGGCCAGGAAAGGGGCCCTGGGCCTGCCATGGACGCCAGGGGGGCGCACTCACTGTCTCGCGGCCTCCGGGCTCCAGGACCTGGGTCCCCGCACGCACGCATGCCACTCCGGGACGGGGAACGGACCCGACCTCGGTCTGTGGCCCGCGACTGAGCGGCTGCAGAACCGCCCTCTGCTCCCCACCCCCGCCTCCCGCACCTGCCCTCACCTGGCGCATCTTGCTGGGCGCAGTCATCTGGGTTGCCTTTGGTCTTTTGAGCCCGGAGGAGGGTACTTCATAATTAATAAACATCCTCCCCTATTACTCCACGGTGATTTTTATTTATAAATCTTGTATGTTGGCTTAAATGAACGCCCGCAAGATTTTTCTTTTGGTAGTGAAGTCGCCTTTTCTCAATCGTTTTATAAAGTCAGATTTATTGAGATTAAAATTTATTTGCAACAAAATTCACTTTCCTTTAGTGTACAGTTCTGTGAACTCTGACAAGTATGCACATCACCAAAAAAATTAAAACGGTTCTCTGGTCCAAACAGAGTTTCCTGGTAGTAAATTCCTTCCTCCCCCTCCCAGCTTGGAAGCAACCACACATCAGTTCTCCCTCTCTATACTTCTGCCTTTTCCAGTATGTCATTGATGGATTCATACAGCACTAGCCACTCTATTTATGTTGAGTTGTATACAGCAAAGCAACTTCCCTAAATTCATTTTCACCTCTAGTAATTTTTGGTCAATTCACATATGTATTGTCACTTCACCTTGCAAGAAGTATTTTTATATTCCACCACTAGATTTGCATATCTTGTTTGCTTTTTTGTGGTTGTAATTCTTCCGGACATAAGGAGATAGTGAGATCCAAGTGAAAGGTATCTCAGTTTTCAATTTCATGTGCCAATAATACAAAAAAAAAAAAAATGTTGAAATCCAGCTAGAAATTTACACCTTCCCTGTTGTCAGTTGTTATTAAAATGAATAGGGAGTGGGTTTTTTTTTTTTTTTTTTTTTGGCAGTAGTAGGGATTGAACTCAGGCCTCTTAGTTGCTAGCCAGGTGCTCTACCACTTAAGTCACTCCACCAGCCCTGTATTTTCATGTTTTTAACAAACTAAACCTCTAGAAACAATCCTTGTTAGGATACTTTTATAGATTGGAACACTTTCATCTATTGGCTATGTAAAAGTGAGCATTTTCATAGGCATCACTTAGATTTTTTTTTAGCGACTGTGTAATGGTGAAAACACTACTGAATATTCATTTTCAAAATCTTCTCACCATAAGATGAGCTCCTTTAGCATAGCAGTCACTTTGTCAAACCTGATAAATGCCAGCTTTCCCCTTAAGAAGCAGACTAACAGGAGGTTAAGGAGCAGACACTGTCATTTTCAGTGTGCTTGCTTCATTCTATTATCTTCAGTCTGTGGTTTATTCACAAGAATCATTTGATAAACCCTAACTCGACTTAACCACACAAAGATAAACTGCAAAACCATTACCAACTTAAACTGAGTTACTCTCCACTTCTCCCTCTGGTGTGTGTGGTCAGATTTTGGACCAAACAGTGAATATTGATCACTTTGATTGGTCAGTACTTCAACCACAGGTTTGTTTTGCTTTGGTTTTAATTTTTGGGTAGTTGTTTTGCAGTGCTGGGGATTGAACCTTTGGTCTACTGTGTGCTAAGGCAATCACCCTGCCACTGAGCTAGCCCTAGCCCATGTTTTTTTGAGTTTTGGTTTGCTTTTTTTTTTTTGCAATATTAGGATTTGAACTCAGGGTCTTGCATTTGCTAGGCAGGTACTCTAGCACTTCAACCACATTGTCAACTCTTTTTGTTTTGGTTATTTTTGTAATAGAGTCTTGCTTTTATGTCGAGGCTTGCCTAGACTTTGATCCTCCTAGTTGTGCTTCCTGTGTAGCTGAATGACAGGTGAATGCCACCATGCCATTTTTCAGTGGTTGAGATAGGAGTCTCAAGAAATTTTTGCCTGGGCTACCTTCGAACAATGAGACAAAAGCCAAATTTTTAAAGATTAAAAATATACATAGAAATTTTCATATTTTCTTCTCTTCCAAGGAAGGCCTTGTACATGCTGCCACACATTCTACCCCAGGAATTACTGGTCGGACAATTATAAGATGGTCCAGAAAGGCAGGTTTTGGTTCAATCCATAGAACCATCTTTCAAGAAGTAGTTTTCAGAAATGGCCCACACCCCTAAGTAGAGGGTTCCTAGACATGGGATGCATTAAGCAGAGCCAGAGGTCCCACTGGATGGCAGTCCTCTGCGTTTTTATTAGCTTAAAGACCCAAAATGACAGTTGACTAGCTTGTTTCTGTTTATAAGGAATGTAAGAGATAACAGAAAACTAGGCCAGTTACAAAGCCTCCCATCAAGCTCAATGGCTGTGTTTTTCATCTGTAAAACATAGGGCCAGAATATGATAGCTTTTTTTATTGGTTTTTAATTTTTAAATTTTAATGTTATGTTGGGCAGGGGTACATTGTATTTACAGAGGTTCTTGCAATGTATCAAATATGTCATTCTTGAATTCACTCCTTCTGCCATTCTCTTTCATCCTCCCCATTCAAGAAATAATTCAACAGGTACATTTTTTCCATTTACATTCATGTGTACACAGTATTTGCACCACATTCACCCTTTTACACCCATTCCTGCCTTCTCCCTCCTGCCACTGGTATCAACCTTCTCCTCCTCCAGGGAGGACCTATTCTTCCCTTCTGTTCTCCAATTTTGTACAAGAAAGGAAAAAGAAAGGGTGTTTTTACTTGTTTAATATGATAGTTTTTAAGGCTTCTTCTTATAATACTCTGTGATGACTCTTCTTCACCAAACAGTATGTTGGTTCTTGTTATCTTTCTCTTTTTGGCAGTGCTAGGGATTGAACCCAGGGCCTTGTGAATGCAAAGCTTTCTACCACTGAGCTACGTCCCCAGGCTTGGTTCTTAGATTTAAAACATACTGGGATTGTGGCTTAGTGATAGAGTACAAGGCTCTGGGTTCACCACCATGAAAAAAATTTTTTTAAATAAATAAACATAATTTTTTAGAAAGAAATTCTTTTTTAAAGATTTTATTAGGATTTTTGCATAAATATTCCTAAATAAGAATTTCCTAAATTTTCGTACATCATCTTGCATTTTACTTTTTAAAATGAAAATCACATTTACTATATTTTTTTTATATTTTGGGCATATATGAAAAGGATTTGTTCTTTGACAACTTGGAAAAGTCACAGGAACCCTACTGCAAGCAAACAACATTTTAATTGGATATTCTTTGGCAGCTTATGGATTATTTCTCATAAGCAATCTGAACATATCTCCTTTTAAATATCAGTTTTGTAATACTGTATCTTTATAAGGGGCCAGACTTTTTTTTACATTAATCAGATTTTTAGCAGCAAACTGAGAAATAACTCTTTTCAAATCTAGTGGATTTATTTTATGGATCTCCTATTCAGTGATAAATTTACTAATTTGTAATTTTATGGTTGAACTATCACTTTCCCTATTTACTCTGTAACAACTACTTAGTGGTTTTTTCTAATTTTTTATCATTTTAAGTGCTTAGTTTTAAATTTTCCATTTTGGTTTCTTCTGCTTTCTTTCCAAATTCGAGCTTTTAAAAATATGATTTCCACTCTTATCCCTAATATAGAGATTTTTTTTTTTTTTTTTGGATACGGGGTCTCACTCTATTGCTCAGGTTGGCTTCAAACCCAAGATCCTCCTGCCTAAGTCTCCCAAGTAGCTGGAATTGCAGGTGTGAAATATCACCCAGCCCTACTTACAAAGATATAAAGGGTGATTTTTTTTTTCTTACAGTAGTGCTTTAGTATCATCATGAAAATTGTCTTGTGTGGAACTTAAATTTTCATTATTTAAGAAGCACTATCCTCCAGCGTATACTCTGTAACCCAAGCATTAATGAAGTACTTTATGTTTCTGTGTTTTTGATTACCAACTAGTTCTATTGTTTTTTTAAAAAAAAAATCCTTGTCTGATCAAATTAATTATATAGACAGTTCCTTCTGTCCTCAAATTTCCAGCTACTTTTTTTTTCATATATTTTGGTATTATGTTCTTTAAAATAAATAAGTTCATTATTACTAAATTTTCATTATTATTTTTTGGTGGTACTGAGGTTTGAACTCAGGGCCTCATGCTTGTTAGGCAGGTCCTCTATCACTTGAGTTTTCATTATTTAATGTAAATTTTATCTTTACTATTAAAATTTTGATTATGAAATTTATCTTGTCAGACACAATGTAAGTAATCATTGCTTCTTCAACATTTGTTCTAATATGAAGAAAATTTAGACCATATGTCTGTCTTAATATTTTTTCAACTTATTTCTTTGTTTCTTGTAATAATTGCACTTCGTTTTATTTTCTAAATTGATAGCATTTCGTTTTTAAAGGTAAATTGGGCCCATTTACATTTAATAATATAATTATTAATAAAGTTATAGAATTAATGCATAACTGAATGCCTTTTCTGCTCTATTTTTTACCTTAACTTAATGTGAATATGTATGAGATAAATATAATCTGATATGCTTGATTAACTTGATGTTACACAATATGAATTAAACTAGACTAACTTATTTGCTTTTTTTTCTATCAGTGAAAACACTATTTTCTTATGTGAACTTTCTCCCAATTCCTTCGTAAATGCAGAATTATTCTAGAACAGGATGGAGTCCCATTTTAAATTCAAACGAATTAAAGATACTCAGGTTTGACCACAGATAATGGCGATGTAGCTCAGAGTATGTTTTAAAACCTACTCTTGGGGAAAGGGGTGTAGCTCAGTGGTAGAGTGCTTGTCTAGCATGTACAGGCCCTGGCTTCCAAACACAGCACCAAAAGAAAAAAAAAAACTTCTTATCTGAAAATAGTATTATCATTTAACAAGATGAATCTACTGAACATAGGTAAACATTAAGACTTTTTAATTGTGGTACAACCCCTGCCATAATCATTCATGTAATTCAACTCCCTTCATATTTGACAGTAACGTCATACAGATGAAGTTGCTGATAATTAAGCAAAATTATAAAATGAACCAATGTCACAACAAATGAATCAAGAGTCACAAGAAGAAAGGAACCGTAGGAATGCAGGTCAAGGCAAGAGGCTGCAGCTGGCCAGATATGTTACTTTTTGCCTAATTTTCATCTAGGAATTCACCATAACAAAGAAAACAAGAAGTGTTACCCATCCCCATTCTGTGTCTAATAAATAAAATATTTCTTGACTGAATGGTTAGAAGAAAAGTCTTTAAAAAACATTAATCATTTTCATGAGTTCACAATAGAAGTCCTTCCTTCCCTCCCTCCCTCCGTCTCTCCCTCCCTCTCTTTAAAAGATGGGGTGTCACTATGTTGTACAATGTTGCCCAGGCTGGTCTCAAGTGATCCTCTTGCCTCAGCCTTCCAAGTAGCTGAGACTCAAGGCACATGTCATCATGCCTGTCTGAAACTCTGTTTCTGGATATAAAATATTACTCAGCAGCCAGGCATGGTGGTGCGCACCTTGAGACAGAAGGATCGAGTTGGAGTCAGCCTGGGCTACATAGTGAAATCCTGCCTCAGGGGAAAAAAAAAAAAAGAAACTTAGTATTTGCTTAAGGGACAAATTATACAATATGGCTTTTGACATATTAAAACTCTATGGGAAAATCTAAGATATCTTTTAATTTTGCTTTAATATCATATTAATGGAACATAAAAATTGAGTAAGAACATAGGTTAGTCTACTTTAAGAAGTGCTTTCAAAATTCAACCACCTAGCTTCTTTTCAGAAGAAACTATACATCAACACACTCTTTTCTAACTTAACTTTTGGAGATGAAAATGGAAACTCAAACCTCTAGCCCAACAGTTTGTGTAAAATACTCCCTCCTCAGCGTCAAGTAAAGTGCCATTACTCTCTTATATACCGTTCTACTTCAACAGATGATTCAGCTGGTCCTGCAGATCTGACGACTGTTCAACACTAGAAACCGGAATAGAGAAAGGGTTTATCTGAAATGAGTCAGAAAGACATTTCTTTGTATAATCTATCTTTTTATGCATAAACATTACAGCTAAATCAAAATTTTTTTATTGGTCCATTTGCATCCCAGAAGTGTTTAAACTATGAGTCCGTCATGGTGGTACTGTGTAATCCCAGCTACCCAGGAGGGTAATATAGGAAGGAGGATCACTTTAGCCCAAGAGATTAAAGTCATCCTGGGCAAGACCCTCGCTCAATGGGGGGAAAAGTCTTTAAATTGTGAAGAAAGGTTTGCAAAGCCAATAGTAATGTAAATAATACTGCAAAGGACAAATTTAATTCACTTCAGAAAACAAGGTTGTTTAATTAGACTTTAGCATTTTACTCTATTTAATGAGTATTACCAATGTAAAAGCTTTTCTGTTCCTTAAGGCTGGCCTCAACACCCTGTAACATTTAGAAAGCCTTTACTGGCAATGACTTGGTTATTGCATGCTTTTGAAATATACTGTTCTTTAAATTCTGAATGGGCTATCCTAGATGATGGCAATTTAAAGGTATAATATGTCAGCCAGAGTTTTGTGTTGATCCTGGGCACAGCAGTATAATCTCCCCCTTCCTCCTACCCCAGCCTGCTTCAGTTGATTCCCCAGCCTGCTACCTTGGGGTTACTTACTTCTTCTGAATAGCTTCTTGCCTAAATCAGAGAAGAAAAGGAGGGGGAGAGGAGACATAAGAAAACACAGTGAACTAGCAGAAGTTATTTATGGTCACATATATAGGAAGAACAAGCTTCTGGTTATGCCACATTCTGTATTTCTAATATCCTAAGACTGTGCTGTTGAAATGGGATTCCTTTCTGAGTTCAGAGCTGCTATAAAGACAGATTCTAAAGAAACCTACAGAGTAGTAGTATTTTCCCAGAGTGAGGGAGTCCTCCAACCCCCTTAAATTTAGTCTGAGAAGATGGAGTCAAATGATCACATATTTAATATGTACACTCCCAAAGAATGACCAGGATAAACGTTAGCTACCAGGACTCAGGTTCCCAACTATACACGTCCAATAAGTATATAAGCATAATATCAACTACATAAAATATATAACAAAATTAAATAAGATGAAAAGCAAATTCAATTTTAGTTTTACTCAAAATTATAAGAAGGGGTCTCGTATTTCAAAACCTAGATGATTGATCTGTAGCTGGTGCTATGTCACATGAAAACGCAGGATATAGGTTACCATTACACTTGATTCTCTGGTAGAGCAGACACCCAGGAGACACTGGGCACAGACAGTTGACAAATACTGATTAAGTGCCTCTCAGATTCTGGCATGGGCCCTGCCCTTATGTGGTTTCCACTGAAGAGCCTTCAAATTAACACAGGGAGGTTCATAAAAAATGGGCTCTGATCTCACCTCCTACTTCAACTTCTTCTGTGGCCTAAGTCCTTCCTTCCACAGAAGGACTTCATCAACTAACCCATCTTCACTCCCATTCCTGCACCCATGAAAAATACATGAAGCAGAAAAGCAATGATGGAAGGCCGGGGATCATGACTTTGCAGCAAGCAGTTGCTGGAGAAGAAATACTCACTGGTACTGAAGATGCGTTGTGATTATCGCCATTTTCCTTAAACTCTGCACAAAAGAGAAACAGAAAATTCCACTTCCCTGTAGCCATACAAACTATGTATATAAACCCCAAATCATAAAAAAAAAAAATTGTTCCTTACATCTTCCGAGTGCAAGATGGTATCTTCCTGTAGTACCATGTTTCGAGCTGCCTGACCTAGCAGCTGGAAGACAAAAATAAGATGGTAATGACTGAAGTTCCCAAACTTTCTGCAATCTTCTCTCTGGCAGCTGTTCCACCTACCCTCTTCCCTCGCCACTCCTTCAACCCAGACAATTCCGCACACTCAGAATATATGAAGGCTAACTTGCCATTTGTTCTGGGAATCTTTCATGATACCACTACACCAGCAGCGCCGGCTTGTCATTTGTTCTGGCTGAAAATTCCTTTCACTGGCACTGTGGCAGTTCTGGCCTGGGCTCAACATCTGTCCCAAGGCCACCACCTGAGCCACTGAGTGCCCCATAACTGCTGAACCCTTTGCACAGTTTATTCATCCAGTGCTGGGAGGACTCTGCAAAACAACTTTGGCTGCATGTGTCCAGTGAGAGAACCTAACTTCTGATTCCTTAAAGGCAGATTTGGTGTTGGGGGTTTTTGAGAGAAGTAGGGAGTGGGAATTGGGTGGGAATGGGAAGGACAGAGGGGATGTAGCTGTTTAGAAATGGAATGAGGGCTGAGAATGTGGATCAGTGCTTGCCTTGTATGAATGAGGCCCTGGGTTCCACCCCCAGTACCACAAAGGTAAAAAAGGAAATGGGATGAAAGCAATAGAGGAGTTTAAAAGGCATCTCGAGGCTGAGGATAGGAAACCATCACATGAAAGATGGCCAGATGTGGCTGGGGGGAGAAAAGCAAGAAGAAAGGAGAAGACAGATTTTAATGAATTCACTGATAGCTGGGCCCTGAGAGCAAGACAGCAGAGCAGATCTGGGATTCAGCTGGGTGGCCCAAGGTCAAAGCGAGGCTGATGGAGAGGTGAGCAGAGATTAGCTGAAGTTTCTGGCCTTGCGCTGTACCTTGCTCCCAGCATACCTTAAACCAGCCTGCCAAGGCTGTGACGTGGGTGCTACCAACCTTTCCCTGTTCCCCATGGTCAAAGATTCTGAGAAAAGGGGACTGACAACGTCAAATTAACCAGGGACATCAGCATTGCTACAGTTCTGATATTCCTTTCCCCAGGGCAACTTTTACTTGTCTTTCTTTTCTATTTAAAATTAGTAAACCTTCAAGTGCTTCTACAGTCTGAGCAATAAAATAACACCTTCGGTCTCTGCCCCTCCCCTCCTTGTTCTCTCTTGCCCGTGCTTAGCAATTTTTATTTGTTTTTGGTTTATCTTTCTATTGTTTCTTTTTAAAACAATGGATACAGAGTTGTCCCTTGGTATCTGTGGGGGACTAGTTCCAGCACCCCTATGGGTACCAAACTCTCTAGGTGTTCAATTTCATTATGTAAAATGGCAGAGTATTTACATGTAACTACACACATCCATACATTTTAAGTCACTTCTAGATTAATTATAATACCTAATTCAATGTAAACACTATGCAAATAGTTGTTATACAGAATTTAGGGAATAATGACAATTCTTTTTAAAAGCCCATGTACGTTTAGGACAGATACAGCCATCATAGGCCTAACTACATTTCCATCTGCAGTTGGTGGAATCTGTGGATTTGGAACCTGCAGATGTACAAAGCCAACTGTATTTATTCTCCCCTTCCCATTTTTTTAAATTTATAATGTAACTTACTTCACTTCACAGTACATCTCTGAGCTGGACCTGCAGCAATATATGTTGAATCTCCTCATTGCTCTTTTACAACTCCAAGAGCTACAGATGTACAGATGTTCCAGAAGATTCAACAGTCCTTTGTGTTCTCTGTCTATATATATTACATAGACATATATATATATTTTATATATATATATATATATATATATATATACACACACATATGTATGGTTTTTTGCCAGTGAACTCTGCCAAATCCCCTCTATCAGGATTGTATCATTTTGCACTCCCAACAATGTGTGAAAGTGCCTGTTCAATGGGCATGGTGTTGTGTGATGCAAACCTGGAGGCTGAAGCAGGAGGACTGTGAATTCCAGACCAGCCCGGGATTCATGGTGAGACCCTGTCCCTAAGCCAGGGCTGTGTGTGTGTGTGTAGAGTACTGGGGCTTGAACTCAGGGCTTTGTACTTGCTAAGTAAGCCTTACCTGTAGTCACTTTTAAGTGTCAAAGTTGAAACTCCTATAGATGAGAAATGGTTACTGACTGAAAAACTAATAGCAGAAAGAAAGAGCTGTGACAGAATCTACCTCGTTCATTCACTTATTTGTTCAACAAATATTTCTTGAGTGCATACAACATGAGGAACATTGACAAGATAGGACTGATGGGACTTTGTAATTGTCTGGAATGTGGGTTGGGGGGAAGGGCGCTAGCTATTCCTTGAGGACAGACGTGCTCATTGGCATTCTGCCTCATTTTCTTACATAAACCAACCACACACATATCATTTAAGATTTCCAGTTATGCCTTCTTTAAAATTGAATATATTGACTGGGCATGGTGGCTCACACCTGCAATATCAGCCAGTCGGAAGGCAGAGATCAAGAGGATTGATGTTCAAGCCCAGGCTGGGCAAAAGTTCCAGATCCCATTTCAACCAATAAAAACTGAGCACCTGTCATCCTAGCTGCATGAATAAATAGGAGGATCATGGTCAAGGCCTCCCTGAGCATAACTGTAAAACTCTATTCAAAAAGAAACTACAGCAAAAATGGCTGGGGGCATGGCTCAAGTGGTAGAGAGTCTGACTAGAAAGCATGAGGCCCTGTGCTCAAGCTCCAGCACCACAAAAAATGCTTGAAAAGACCTATAAAAATCTTAGTGTAGAATTTTTGATTCTACAAAATTGTTCTCCTATGCTTTTACTCTTGCCTCTTTTTTTTGAAAAGGCATACAAATTTATTAATGTACAAAAGGGGAGGAAATCACAATCACAATTCAAAGAGTGTGATTTATCCACTGGCCCAGCATAATCTAGAAATTTATACACCTCTTCTTCTGTAGGGCAAGGGACAATAAGGTACTTCAGGGCCACAGTAAATCTTTTTTTTCTGTGAACTCAGAGGACTTGAATGTACAATGGCTCACAGAACAGATGTTTTGTAAATGATTCTCTCTGGGACCAAAATAGATGACAACAGCATTTAACAGTCTGTCCAGTTGTGCTGACAGACTTCAGTCTTTCTTCCTGTGATAGGAGTTGCAGCTCAGAAGGGACCAGAGGTAACTGTTTCTTCTTTGGTGGGCCTGGGAGTCTGGGCAGATAAGGGAACTGTGCAGTCTTTTCCTGTCCTGGGAGGGAAAGAGACAAGGGAAGGTCCAAGTGATCTGGATCCTGAGACAGTTGTAAAGCTTTCAATTTTCCTTTCGATCAAATTGCTCAGTATGGGCTGGGGATGTAGTTTGGTGTTACAGTATGCTTACACGTGCAAAGGGCCTGGGTTCAATCACTAGCACCAAGAAAAAAAACAAGGAAGAAGGGCTGGGATGTAATGTAGTGACAATGCATCTGCTTAGCATGGATTGATCAAAGTACTTCATACATATGTTCAATTAGTACATTCTTAAAAAGATAAAAATTGCTTAGGATGCCAGAAAATACTACCCTTTTGGGTTATTGTTCACTGAGTCCCAACAGTAGTCATTTCTCTTTCTCTTTCACTCAACCTAGTTTTGAAATCCACCTATGTTGCTTGTTTTGTTTTTTTCATTTTTTGGTGGTTCTAGGGTTTGGACTCAGAGCCTCAAACTTCCTAGGCAGGTACTCTACTGTTTGAGCCCTTCCACCAGACCATGTTGCTGTGTTTAACTCTATTTTGTGCCTTACTAAATATTCCCTTGTATGGGAATCATTTCAACATATGTTAAAACTGGGCATGCAGTAATTCGGGAGGCTGAGGTAGGAGGACCCAGAGGTCCAGGTCAGCCTTAGCTGCATTTCAAAACCCTCTCTCAAGAACAAAAACAAAAGGAAACAACCCAACAACATGCATGACACTGTGTACGTAGCTTCTCTTTCTCTGTACAGGAAAGAAGTCAAAAGAAGGTGAGCTGAGGCCTTGGAAATGATCCTGAGATTCCGAGAAGGGATGAAGACAGTTTATGGTAGAGTCGGACGGTGGCCACAGTTGACTGACTACGGCTCCTGGGGTTGGCTGTAGGGAGCTTAATAGTGAGACATATGCTGAGTTGCAATGAGGGCATTGCACGGTTGACATAAATGCAGGCTATAGGGCAGGGGCCATCTGGGGACCTGGGTGGTGTGTCCATGTCTGTCTGGGAAGGACTGGCATTAGCCTGCAGCCTTGGCTAAATGCACAGGCTGAGTTCTTGGATTTGTTGACTATGACATTCTCCTTTCTGACTTTTGCTCTGTGGTTCTTGAACCACACCTGCAGAGACATGGGATCAATGGGGGTATTTTTTGTTTGTTTTTGTGGTACTGGGGCTTGTACTCAGGGCCTTCACTTTGAGCCATTCAGCAAGCCTTTTTTTGTGATGAGTATTTTTGAGATAGGATCTCATGAACTATTTGCCTGGGCTGGCTTTGAACAGCTATCCTCCTGAGCTCTGACTCCTGAGTAACTAGGATTATAGGCATGAACCACCAACGCCTGGCTCCATGTTCATTTTTGAGGCCATTTCTTTCTTCAAGCTGGGGTCCGGGTATGGGTTCTTGTTGAACACGAGGTTCAAAGCTTCCAACTGTTTCTCAGTGAACATGGGTTGTTTCCTTTGCAGAAGCTTCTAGGCATGCCTTCAGGAAGGGCCTGGGAGTCTGACCTCTTGGACTTAGATGTCTTCTGTGCTCAGATATGTTCCTAAACTCCAGTTTTTCTCTTAGCTCCAGGCTAAGAGACTATTGTCTTGTTTGTAATTAACTCAGTAACCATTTGTCTTAGCTACTTATCTTCACCAAGTTTCCTATTTTCATATCAATAGCTGGCCTCCCCCTCCATACATCTCTCATCACTTTCCATGTTATTTCATTAAATTATGTAGCAACAATGGCAAGCACAAGTGTCATATGCAGATTTATGAGAAAACATAATACACAAGCCCAGCACTGAAACAATGACAACAAA